TTCAAACCCTGCCCTTTCGACATGCACGCTGCTCGTTTCTCACACTTCCAGCACGCTTTTGTGCGCAGCTGCCGTGGTCGGTCTGGCTCTTATTTCAGGTCCTGAACTCCATCTCCGTGTTCGTGCGTCTGTGCCCGAGTTCCTGCCTTGTTCCCGCCGCGCTTCTGGGGCAGAGTGTGGCTACTTCCAGCTGCTGCCCGGCGCAGAACATAGCGTTTCAGGATGAAATGTGAGCCTGCCCTTAGCAAACGGGCACCGTCAAGGGCTTGCCCCAACAGAGAGCGGGGTTGTGGGTGTGAACAGGACCTGAGCATCCCATCCCTAAAGGCTGCTGTCCACTTGACCACTATGGCTGGCTCCCTGCTGTATCTCCGCAGCTACCCTGTAGAAATTAAGGACTGTGATAACAAACTGCCACTGAAATGGTTACGCAGCCCCTGCCATACGAGCAGCTGAAGGAGTTTTGCTTCCACCCTTTCCCAGCTGGGTTTAGCTCCCCTGGACGCAGCACTTCTTCCTGTTCTCCTTCTACCTGTCCCTACAGCAGAAAGCCATACAGCTTTGCGAGGCTGGTATATTATAATTAACGCAGAGAAATTTATGTGTGTGTACAAGCCCTAAAATATTTTCAAACCAGCCCCCATAACCATCAGATTGGTTAAGACCCACACCCAAGCTCCTCAGTACAGCCTCTTCCCTGCCAAGTCGTCAGCTTTGCTGGCCATTGGTTTTCCCCTGATGATTTCCTACCCAGATGCTGACCCTGGCAGCTCCGTAGCAGGTGGGAACAGGGATGTGTTTGTGAGCTCTGTTCATGGACACCTGCCTTGTGACCGTGAAAACCCTCTTTCTCTTGCTTTTCCTCCAACAAATTTCTTATGCAGATTCAGGATTTAAAAATAGAGGGTTTACTTAAAGTGGCACTAGACATCTCAGTGCAGGTTGCATTAAAATGGGAACTGTTGTACCTGTAAACACACAAAATACCTCTCATTTCCTGAAAAATGTATTCATCCTTCTCAGCCTGGCTACAGCAGAAATATGGGCTGAACCAGGCTCAGTGCTCTGGAGCTGCCAGCGAGCCTGTACACATCCCGCCGCTCAGATTGGTCATGGGATAGCTGCATCTTTATTCACAGAGGGAGACGAAAGGCATGAGATGATACTAGCTGCCAACAATTTACTCACTGACAAATGATCTCTCCATTCTCCCACTCCCTCCAAGTGCTAAAAGTCCCAAATCAGGCCCCCTTTCTTCTAAAGCCATAGCTGGAAAACCAGAGCAGTTATTGAAACAGCATGGACTGCTTGATTTCTCACTGCTTTCTGATTTCCAAGCCACAATTTCAAACTTCTTTTTCTTTTCCTTAAAGAATAAACAGCAGAGACGCATTTTCTTTATTTATTTAAAAAAAAAAAAAAAAAAGTGGAGCCTGTGACTTGCGCCTTTGGCTTCAGGAGTTTGGAAAAAAAGCCCCCAAAACTGAAGACACAGTGTAGCTGCAGCAGAGCAGCCCACCTGGCCAGCTCCCTCTCCTTCATTCTGCGTTTTTTTTTGTAGTTACAAAGACCCTTAAGGTTTGGGAATTCCTCGGTGAGCACTTTGTGTGAGCGTGTCTCTTCCTGTCGGCTGCCTGTGAGCTGTTGCCTGAAACCACAGCTGAGGTTGGGAAAGGACCTGCCGGGCAAAGCTGCTCCCCATTTCTGCTCAGAAAACCCAACGCCTCCCTTGCAGAGCCCTTAGCACCCTGAGGAGTTGAGGATGTGCGGGATTTGCTCTAGTCTGTGATGAGCAACTCCCTCACTGCCCTGTGGGTGGGGGAATCCACCAAAATATGTCATGCTCTGTCGAAGCGACTGGTTTTTCCGTCAGTCCTAAGATAAGAGAGAGGTCACTGCCCGCTGCCTCCTGGGTCTGGCACAGCGCTGCGAGCCCTCAGAAATCTCTCTGAATTGCCAGGGAGAAGACAGCCATGACTCAGAAATGGCCTGGCAGAAATGTCCATGGGAAGCTTTGCTCTGGTTTTATTTACAGAGAAATGAAGGGAAAAAAAAAAAAAAAAAAAAGAGGAGCGAAGGAACTGCTCCAGCAAAACTGACTGCTGCAGAAGAGGGGGCAGAGACGCAGCCCCCCTCCAGCCGGGACTCCAGCAGCTGGTGGCACACGAGGAATCGAGGCCAGATGAAATACGGAGTCACTGCACCTGCCTGACTTTTTCATCTACTTGGCAAGACGGGGTGTCAGATGTGGGAGCTACGTGCAAGGCGAAGAAGTGGGGTGGGATGGCAGAGCTCCCACCTCCGGCGCTGACACGCTCTTTGGTGAAGGGAAAACAGGCTCACGGCGGCGAGGATGCACTGAAAAGGTCGTTTCTGTTGTGGTGGCTGCTGCTGTTGCAAAAGATGGTGAAAGCTCCTGGCTCCTGCCTCCGGGGTGAGATACAGGCAAGATGACCTCGCCATGGAGGGAGGGGAGAGAGCTTAAAAGGTCGGAGAATAAACCAAGCGTTAAAATTGCAGGCAAGCCCAGGCTGGTTTCCTTGAAGGACACTAGAGACAGTGCTGCTTGACTGAGCACAGTAGACACTCCCAGAGCTGATCTGATACCAACAAGATCTTTCAATATTTCCTTTCGCTTATGCAGTGGGCTGAAAACATCTATCTTCTGAAATATTTATCTTGTCCACTTCTTCTAGCAGAGATCAAAATGAGTGAGAAATGCACCTATAACCTGATGGCTCATCTTGCACCTTTGGTAACTTTTAGCAGGAGGAGGTGCCAAATCCCAGTTACGTCTCCAAGCCCAAGCTCTAAAGGATCAGACACCAGTTATCACAGATAGGCCAAGGGCACTGGCTGGTAGAGGTGACAGGCACCTCAAGTTACCTACAGCATAATGTGAGTACTGAACTCTCCTGGAAATAAACTTAGTCCGAGTTTCTGAATACTAGGATAGAGGCATTGAGAGAGTGAGATATATACCCTGTGTCCCTCGGAGTGGGAAAACAAATGCCACTGTGTCTTTCCCAGCTTGAGCAGGTCAGGGACAGCCAGGAGACTACTTGTCCCACCCCGAGCGTGGTGATTTTAGTCACCTATGGAGCGGGGCACTGGGAGTGGAAACCTTTACCCACCATTCCTGCTTCTTGCAACTTTTAGGTCTAAGTGCTTTCTGGATTGTATCTGGTATTACTACTTGCACCCAAAACACCCCTAAACTAGTTTTCTGCCCAAGAGCTTTCCTGCAGCCTCCCGACTGTGCAGTTCAGGAAAACCGATGGTAGTCTCCGACTGTAGCCCGACTGCCCACAAGCAGCAGAACAAGTCGGCTTCCTGCAAAAACCATGCACAGAGCCTTCAAGCAATGGTGGCAGGAGAGGACACACAAGTCTCTTCCCAGCAGCGATTTAGCAGCTGTACATTGATGATGAAATTCTCCAGCCCAGCCTCGACTGACTGAGCTGGCTCAGTCCTCAAAAGGCGCCCAGGCTGTGAGCTGAGCGGGCAGCACCCCCATCGCAGCAAACGTCTGCAGCTCTGGCTTGTGGGGAGCGGCTGAGAACAAAAACCGCTTCCCCAGGGAAGATGAGGTCCCCAAAGCAAGGGCATTGCTCAGAAAAGATCTGGCTCACGTGGGTACGTGCAGACTCCTCACATCCCAGCAGAGAGCCTTGCCCCCTCCAAACCTGGCCAATGTCATCCAAAGTGTCTTCAACATTATGGTTCCTGGACAGAAACCCTCCCGGTTCCTGTGAGATCTTCAGGCCAACTTTGCAATCTCTGAGACATTGAGACGAACCAGAACAGCTTTCCCAACCATTTTACCCAGTATTAAATTCAGTGACTGCTAGCACAATCACTTATTAACTGCCAGCACTGCATCTGGGAGTACTGTACATGGCTGGGAGGGCTATTAACTGTTCCTGCACCTGCAAAATGAAGGGAAGGCATGATTTCCCCCAGATTTCTGTGACAAGGCTAGAAAACACAAAAGCTGAAAAATTCAAACCCAGCAAGAAATCGGCAGTGACTGTTCAGGATGTAGCTATGTCCCCTACCCTGGGCACTTCACTCTGCATGAGGAACCAGGCAGGAAGAGCCAGAGCCCCCTGAGACAGGAGCTGGCAGTCCCAGAGACCCCTTTATTTCAGCAAACCTGTCTGCTGCCCTCCTCTGACCTTTCTCTGCTTTGCTCAGCTTGGTGTGACGGTCTCTCAGGAAAGCTCTGCATAATGAAATTGCCTGATTCCTCCAGCTGTTCCCCCATTACCCACCCGCCATGCCAAGGCTGCTGTATTTCCACCTGCCACTGAGAACACGGAGAGCACTTAATGGATTATGGCTGGATAAACAGTAAAACTGAGCATATGCGAACACTTCAGCCTCCCCTGTGCTTGCCACGCTCCTGCTCGGTGGAGGGAGTGGGTCTGCTGGGCAAAACTTTCAGGTCCTGAGGCTGCAGTGCCAGGTGTTCCTGGCTGCAGCTCGTCCTGGAGAGCTTGGCAGAGACAAGGGGGACCGGGGAGAGCAGGGGCGATGAGGATCGATGGACCCAACCTGGGAGCTGCTGCTGTGCATTGACCTGTGCTCACTCGTCATTTTGGGGGGGGCCAGGAGGAGCAAGCTGGCGGGCTGGCGAGAGCAGGACCCTGCTCGAGTCCCAAGAGCTTTTGAGGCAGGAGGGAGGGCGGGGCTCTCTGGATCAGGCTCTTAGTGATGTGCAACAGCCAAGATGTGTCTCAGAGGGGAAGGCATGGGGACTGAGCCAAGGGAGAGGAGAAGCAGCCCACCTCCCTGCATGCTCTGCCCCCCAGGGCTCCTCAACCAGCACAGCAACTTCTACATTTTTGTATCAACAGACACATAATGGATTGATTCTTTAAAACTCAGTAATCACTCAGCAGTTTCACACACAAACAACGGAGACACAGGAATGTACACAAAAGTATTAAATGAGATAGATCTTTATTAGAAGCTTCCAGCATATTTTATCTGTTCTCTTCCTCCACAAAACTCCTCTTACTGGATATACAGCTACTATAGTCCATATAGAGCCTGTACATCTCTCTCTCACTATTTACTGCTACATATCTCACTGTACAACTGTACAGTGTGCTCTCTTATCAGCAATAATACATGGTCTTCAGTACAACCCTACACACATTAAAATTGCATGGCACTCTGCATTACAAGGAAAGAGCTAAACCTCCCTTCTCTGGTTTCATAAGACAAACATTGCCACTGTGTTCCTATAAAACTCACAGGCAGATCTGCACAGGTATTCTGGGTAGATTTCCCCCAGAATCTGTGGATCTGGTCCCTAAGTGCTTAACAGATCTCACGTTCGTGCAGTTACCACACTTGGGAGTGGAGAAAAACCCTCATGAATAATGCCCTCAAGTGAGCAGGAGGGCACTAGAGGCTGGGAAGAAACTGAACCACTTCCTTTTCATTTTTCACCTCACCTTCCATTCCGGGTCCCCTCCAGCCCCACGAGGTTACACACAGCCCTGGCACCTCCTCACCCGGTGTCTCTTCCCAGTCAACTTTACGTCTCTAGGATGGGAGGCAGTGGAAGGACCGACTCATATATCTAGACCCTTCATCTGGTGATTGTCAGAGCAAAACACGTACACGTGCCTTTTCCTCCCCTCCAACATGCTCCTGCCCCTGTCAGAGCTCTTTCTTGAGGCTCCCCTGAGCTCAGCCCCCTTCCCTGCTGCCCCTGCAGCCCCTCTTCCATCCTGTGCAGCCTCCTTCCCGGCTGCCCCTGGCTCTGGCTGGGTGACATCTGCCCATCCTCTGCCTACGGGAGCGAGCTGTGCCCTTGCAGTGGGTGCTGCTCACCCGCAGGGACAAACACTGCATCCGCGGCTCTGGCTCAGCAGGGCTGAGGCGGCCGCACGCAACAGAAACCCTATCTCAGGCTCCCGAACCGTTAGAACGAGCCGTGACTTCTCGGAGTGAAATCCAAGAGGATGAGTCCTCCTGCAGTGAGCCAAACCGGTCACGGGAGACCTGGGCCTTGCCAAGTGAGTGGCCCCTCCATCCCCCTTTAGCTGCTGCCCAGCTATCCGCACGCAGACAGCACATGCTTAGCAAAGCACCATCTTTGGACAGAGGCAACTCTTCCCCAAAGCTCTCTCCTCTTTTCCTTCACAGATACCCCAACCCTTCCATAGGAACAAAGCACTTTGCTGGTTTCTTTTGCTCTCTCCTCCCTCCACCACCTCAGCGCCTTCCTTTGCCACCAGGTAACTTCAGCAGGGAGGACGGACAAGCAGCGCCCTGGAACAGACACTGTGACTACTCCTAGGAGATAGCACAAGTATGCAAGAAGTGTGCAAAGAAAGAACAGAGCCAGCCCTCGCCGGGCTCCTCTTCTGTCCAGTACAGGTACAAACTGCCTACCGTTATTGTAAATGACTGTCACCGGAAGGATCCTGCTTCCTGTGGCGGCCTGTCCCGTTTAGGGATGGGTCCAGAGAAGTCTTGGTGCTGGGATCCAGGCTTCTCACACTGCCCAAGAACAAAGTCCCCAGCCTCTGCCTCCACCGTCCTCGCCTGTCCTCGCGAAGCACCTCTGGTGTGCGCAGAGACTAGGTCCGGGGGTGTCCTTCTCTGACCTGCCTTCTGAAGTAGCGGATGGCAGAAAGCGTGCCAAAACTTGCCAGGAACACTGGAAAAGAGCCCAACACATTTCCAGAGTGAGCCTGGGTGCTTTCATCTTCCAAACCTGAAGATCTTCTTCCAAACTTGAAGATCTTTTTCCAAGACCACAAGCTACTTGGCTCACTCTGGTCCATGGGGCCTCGGGAGGGAGGTGATGTTACTCCCCTCCCTTTCCCAGTCCCCTCCTGCCTTTGTTTTTCATCCCTACCACACTGTGCTTGCTCCCTGGGCATTCAGTCCTGAGCTGCCCACAGCCCGACCGACCACATCTAGTCCTATAGTTTGGGCACACAGATCACACCACCATTCCGCAAGAAATGGCCGTTTCTAAGGGATACACAACCACAGTCTTCGTGCATGTGGTAGAGATGGGTGGTGGTTAGTTATACACGTTCATGCGGGAATCTAATGGATCTAATCTCAGATGAGAGGGCCACAGTAGGATATCTCACCAGGGCTTCAGGACAGTCCCTTAATTTTCTACTTCTGTTTGGACCAGGAAGATGCCAAAAAAAAATTATAATTTTGTGGGTTATCCATGGATACTCTGATCCCAGGCAAAAGCATAAAATACCCCAAACCCAGAATCAGAAAATGTAGAGATAAAAAATAACTAATGGAGATTATATACAGAATCAATCTCTTTTCTCTACTTTCAGCTAATGTTTTTATCTTGGCTTATAAGAGAGGTCAAATTCCCCTGATCTGGGCCCAAGCAAAACTGGGAACCCAAACCATCCATTTGGACTTCCCAGTTTAAATTCAGACTTGATTTCGATTTACGTGTTAGAGCCTGGGACATGAGGAATTTCAACTTGCTAGAACTTAAAATGCCAAAAGAGAATTGCTAGTGTGGCATGTCAATGCGTCTCCCCCTCCACTCCTCGCCGGGGTGCTTGCTGCACGCTGGGTTATGCAATCCTGAGGGCACGAGGCCCATATCCTGCTTTTCACACCCTCTCTAAGGCCACATCTACCATTTAATACTAAGAAGGCAAGGAGGAGCAGGCCAAAATCTCCTTGTGATGATTGCACTGAGCAACTTTAGCTAATGAGCTATTCTCAGCGCGGGGTGTCAGCTTCCTGTGTGACCTTAGTGGGGAACATTCCTGCCCCAGACCAGCAGTGGGAAGCCCTGGCCCCCACGTCTCACCCCACAGTGGGGGCTCTCCAGAGCCCACGGGCAGGACCCCGCGCGCGGCTGCTGCACTCCCTGCCCCATGCTCGGCTCCTCCAGCGACCCGCACCCGCAGCTCAGCTAATTTGTGTTGCCCAAGCTTCCTCCCTCCCCACCAGTTGTTCAAATGCTGTGGTTGGAGAGGAAAGGAACTGACAGAGCTCTGTTTACTTGCAGGACTCAGCGCACCAGGATAATACTTCAGCTAAACTGCATTTAGAAAAAAGACTATACCTCTACAGCTTATTAGAAAAATATGTGCATTTGTTCCAGCTGAGATGAAGGAATATAAACCTGCCTACTCAAGGTCCTGATTCAGCTTCTAGCCATCAGGGATCCTAAAGAAGCCTCTCTTCCCCTGACACACTGGTACTGACCCCTGTCAGAGGCTGGGATGGAGTGGGGGCCAAAGCTAGGAATAGACTTGTCCTACGGCTCAGTTCAAGTCAGCAGTCACTTTGTGTGGGGAAAGGACAACGTAAGTGAGTATGAATAAGGACTGCCATTTCTATAGGAGAGAGAAGGTATTAGAAAGTAACAGGACACTTTGGAAAAGCAGGAAAATGAGTGCGTTTTCCCACAGGCACCGTTAGGCACATTAGCATCCCTGCCTTTCTCCCCGCCACGTCTTCCCCGAGGTCCTTCCCGCCCCTCTCCCACCAGGCTGGGCACTGTACGTACTGGTTTTCCAGGCGTCCGGAGCCTGCAGGTCGGAGGTCTTCACAGCCCAGGACGCGAAGGCGCAGAAGACGAGGCACATGTCTTTGTGTGTCAGCGCCAGCGGAGCCTGGGGCCTCCCTGCGAGAAGAAGAAGAGCACGAGGGGTTTTACGCCGCCTCCTCTGCCACACCAGTCTCCAGTCCTGCCGGGGCAGTGAGTCCCTTGCACTCCCAGAGAAATACATCTTTGTCACACATTTTGCCTCCTAAAATACTTTTTTTCCACCATTGGTCAAGTCAAGCATGTCTATTTAGGACTCAGGTACGTTTTCTAAGGAGAGGGGCACATTTTTCACCTCTCTGAGTTTTACACTTCAGCGGACACACTGCCTCCGGGACCTCTGACTGCCTCAGCACCTCCCTGCACGCCTTCCCAGCGCACCCCTTGTTGGTGGCTGGAAGCGGGTCTGGGGAGCGGGTTTAGGAGAGAGCAATTCCTGGGGTGGCTCCCAATGTGCTGGGGCTGCAGGCAGGTCCTTCTGAGCAAGTTCCCTTTCCTGCAAGATGGTGCCCCGAGACACATGGAGCACCACACCTGCCCCCGAGAAGCACCAGTGCTCAGCATCTCTCCATGGATCCCACCTCACTCCCGCTGCCTGCTAGGACCAGGGAGTGAGACAGCCCTGAGGGCTCTGCATTTCTCTGTCTGCTGGAGTTCCAGTCTGGCACAACTTGAAGATGTGTTGCAAGAGTAGGTTATTTTTGCTCCTATGTTTATTTGATCGGGCTTTTAATTAAAGCTGGCTTATTAATTAGCTATGACCATGGCGAAGGGGTTTTTCTCTGTGCAAACAGACTGGAAGCTCTATTTTGAGGCACCCTTTGGGATGACTCATTCATTGTTTGGCTTTAATATTAACTATGAGGCACTGGGGCTGTAAGCATCATATAAGCTTTAAGATAAATATGCTGGCTGTCCTACTGGGTCAGACTTGCTCTCCCTTTATTCCTGTTTCTCTTACCTGCCTCCAGTAACAGTCAATGTTCAGGTAACCTCTGAGGTCTCTGGAGGGTGTTTTTTCGAATTAGCGTGTGTTTTAAAGTCCCCCTAACCTCTTTCAGCTGGAAGCCTTGGACATGTTCCACTCTGTGCACACCTTTTCCCCCACCAAAATTTGATCAATTATCAGCCCAACCTTAACAGGACAGCAGCTCAGCAGCCGTTGCCTTGTCTCAGGAGCATGAGTTCTTTGGTACAGAAGGATTTTGCTGCTTTGCCTCCCATTCCCTCATCAGAAATACAGGCATGTAGTTCTGCAGGCAGTTGGCTGGCACTGGGGTGGGGGATCCCTATCTCTACCAGACCTTGCAATAACACCAGCCACGTTTAATGCAGCTCTCTGCTTCAGTAAGTTTTCCTTGGCCAGAGTGCTAAAGAATAGATTAGATCCACAGGAAGTTATATCCATTCAGGGGGACAACTGAATCAGCTAGGACAGGGACTTCAGGCCAGACTGAGTTTCAGCCTGTTGCACTCATGCTGTCATGACCACCTCTGCCCCAGGGCTGGAGTTTGCAGGGAGCAAAGATGCACAGCGTATACCCAGCTTCCCAGTTCATGCCTCCTGCAGCACTGGGAGCCAGCCTGCGGGGCCTGGCCAGCCACGCTCGCTTGGCAGAGGGACAAGCGTGAGCATCACGAGAGCGAGCTGCTGCCACACAGCAGGTCATGGCGGTGGCTGTAGCCACCCTTCTCCTGCTAAAGCCCGGGGCTGCTACGTGGGAAGGTTCACGTGCCACGAGTGGGATTTCACACCAGCTACACCTGGCAGAGCCCACCAAAAACGCTCCCATCTGTAAAGTGGCCTCCACGCTGCTGCGGCTGGAGGGGAGGAGGCTGCAGCAGGGCCAGAGCTGGCTACCAGGCTTCCCACGGAGCGGTGGGAGCGGGGGGGGTCACACGAGGCAGAGGCACATCTCTATGCACCGCGGCGAGCCGGGGGTAACAGCGCTTTACCTGTCAGTGCAAGGGCCATGTCCAAACCTTCTGGTCGCGCCTGGCCTCTTCCCAGCGGAGCCAGAGGGATGAGCGGGAGCTTCTCTCCGGATCCTCTCCGCACAAGAGCCTGGGGGGCTGGGGCTTGGCCTCTGATGAGGTGCACTGGCCGTCGCAAGAAGGACTTCAAAGCCCCCACAGCTTTCTTCACCTCAGAGGCTGGAGTGATGGAGAAAATCCCTCTCCAGCCTGCCCTGTTCCCAGGCCTGTCTGGAAAGAAGTGTTCATACACCTCAGGCACTGAGATAACCAGGGAGTCTTTGACTGGAGCCGAGTCGGGATCCTCATTTTGCAGCTGAGTGTGGTCCAAGCTGCTGAACTTCTTTCGCTTCCTGTCTTTACCCTTCACTTTTTTTCTGTTTCCTTCTGGTTCATTGAAAAAATATTCATACAGTTCAGGCAAGGATATTTCCCTTTCTAAGGGTGTTTTCTCCCCCTCTGTTGAGCTCTCCATCCCTTCTTCTTCCCCCTGGGAGTCACAGAACAAATAGTCGTACATCTCGGGCCAAGTCACGTCCAGAGTGTTTGCCCTTGCAGAGGCCTCGGCTGCAAAGCAAGGGGGTCCCAGCTCCCTGGGGGTCTCAGCTGCAGGCTCCCCATGAGCTCTCTCAGCAGCATCCCCTCCAGAAGCTGCCATGCCCTTGGGATGGAGAGGCTTCCCCAGTGCCTCTGGGCATGCCTCTCCTGAAGGAGCCGTGGCTGTGCTGGCAGGGATCACCGGCACGTTGTCACATATGCCCAAGCCACCAGCCTGCCCTGGCTTTGCATACTTGGTGGCCTTCGCCTTCCCCAGGGACTGTGCCCCCGGCTCCTTCACCTTCTGCTTTGGGGGAGTGCTTGTGGCTGGACTGCCCTCATCCATGCCAGGGCTGAGCACCAGCCGCTTGCTCTCCCCTGCCTCCTCACTCCCCAGCTTCACAGGAGCCGGCCTGGCTGCCTTCTCCTTCCCTTTGCTCTTTCGTGAGGACAGTGGTGAGCTTAAAGGTGCCCTCACGGGTACCACAGTCCCTTGTGCCGCAGCCCCCGCAAGCTCCCTGTCCCCCTGGGCTGCCTCGGTGCCACCGGCTCCACGTTGCTTGCGGCTCTTTCTCAGCTGTCCCGGCACCTTGGGCCTCACAACGTCCGGGGAGCAAGCCGGGGAGCTCAGCTCGGTACCTGCTCTCTCCCCACTCGCCTCCTCCCGTGCCGGGCAGCCGGGTGCTCTGGGCGCAGTTTCCAGGGCTGGGCTCGGCAGGTGGTCACGCAGTGGTCCCCGTAGCCCAGGCTCCGAGCGAGAAGCGCTGCTAGGACTTTTCCTCACCTCTGGAGAGGTAGCCAGTGCCGGCGAGCTGCCCTGCACCGGATCCCCTGCCTGCGCTGCCACCAAACTGCCACGGGGTTGTTCCCCTCCTTGTTCTGGGGGGCTTGTTCCAGCTGGGTGGCCGAGGGGCTCCATGGCCTGGCTGCCGCTGGCTGCTTCTTTCTCCGACGCTGTTGCTTCGCATGCTGCGTCCTGCCCTGGGCTGCTCTCGGCCGGGCTGGCAAGGGCGGCTGCGGGGGCGCAGGGGGGCTGCTGCCTCCCCTGCGCGCTGGGCATCGGAGCGGACGAAGGGCAGCCGGGCTTGTCGCTCTCGCACAGAAACCTGCCGACCGAGCCCAGGTCCGCTTCGTCCTCGCTGCCCGAGAGAAGCTCCGGCAGGGAGAGGTGCCCGCCGGCGGGCCAGCGCGGGGAGGCGTCTCCGGGCACCCCACGTGGGGCAGAGCTTCCCGTGCCAGGCCCTGGCCTGCTGCCCACCCTCGCTGCGATCTGCCCGTTCGTGCAGTCCCTCCCGGGCACGCCGTCCCCTTGTTCAATGTCACTGAGACACTGCTCCTCGGCCGTGGCCAGGGCGGCCGGTGCTAGGTTGCATTCCTCCGACGCCAAGAAGAATTCAGCCCAGTCCCTGTCGTTCAGCTGGATGCTGTACTCGAAGTTATCCATGCCTGCAGCGGCAAAGCAAGGGGAAGGGGCTGGAGAGATCAGGGCATGAGGAGGGGGCACCAGCACCAGCAGACATTGCTGAAGTGGATGCCCCTAACCCTTTCCCCTCAGGTTCCTGTCCTGCTTCCCTGCCATCCGCATTCACTCATCCTCACTGGTTTCCAGCTGAAATCAGTGGGAGGGGATGGCAGACCCAGCACGAGGGGTATCATAACCCAGCCAGCAGTGAGAGAGACCACTGCTCCCCCCCTCAGGTCCCTTCTGCCTCTGCTCCCTGAGCACTGCAGCACAGGGTTTGGGTTTCTCTCCACAGCAGCACAGCAGGATGCACCTCGCATAGCCCTTTCCTACTCCTTTTGCCTACAGCCCATTAAAAAAAGTGAGGGATTGATGCTCTTGAGCATTCCTGCTGTGACGGCATCGTGCATGAAGGTAGCATGAAGCAGAGTCCAAACCAGGGCATTTCAGCAAGGCACGGCAGACCCTTCCATACCTGTGGCTCTGGGGAGGGAGATGCAAGAGAGCCCTGAAACCAGGAGGGGGGATCCAGCGGTAGGAGAAGAAGCAGAGACATCACAAAGCTGCATCCTACCTGTACCACAACCTAAGCCGGTGATGGAGCCATTCAAAGAGCCACGCAGGAAAATCCTCCCAGCACAACATGATGCTGTACCCTTGACAGGGGCAGAGAGCTCGGCTCCAGCACAGATCCATTCAGGGGCTAAAAATAGACACCCCCCCCTCCCTCCCCAGTGTGTCACTTGAGATCCGAGTGCGATGGGCTCGGAGAGGGCAGGGCCATATATAGAAGCTGGTGGGGAAGATGTGAGGGTGCCAGCCAACGCGTTTCTGTCCCACTGGGGTCTCTGGGACCACTCCTGATGCCCACTGCTCGCTTCTGCCCTCTGCCTGGGGTTGCTCGGTGGGATGGTCAACAGAGGAAGAGTCCAGGCCACAGAGCTCACAGCCTTTAGCACAAGGTGAAGTGTGACATCTGGACGGCAATGACCGTTCTTTTTTTCAACATGCCCACCTCTTTGCCTCAGTCTGTAGGTTACCCTTTTCTAGGGTGACCAAAACACTCCTCAGGAGCATTGTTTGCCTGTTGATAGCACTCCTAGGGCATTTATTGCCAGCCCACTGCAGATTTACATCAAAAGATCACAGCCAGAGTCATGGTCTTGTGACAAACCTTGCGTGGTGCGTGGCAGTCGTCCCGTGCCACCCAGGAGCATCTGACGTGGGTGGCAGAGGGAGCCTTGGGTTGGAGACTCAGGGTGAGCCTGGCACGAGAGAGTTACAGGGGAAGTGACTGGCTGAGGGTGGCCTGGCGGGTCAGCAACCAGAGCCAGAAATAGCCTTTAGCTTCTGCGAGCCCCGGCGCCTGCCTCCCACTGCATGCCCTCCCCATCCCCGGGGCCAGAAATAGATGCCCTGAAATAGTCGCCTGCAGCACCAGTGCCCATGTGCGTGAGCCCAGCTCCAGCCCCAGCTGCCCCAAGGCTCCGAACACCCTTCGGGTCACCAGGTCGCCGCAGACCCTAAACTGGAGATGGCTGGCCGTGTAGGTGATGCGGGAGCAGAGACGGAGCCGGGTGCCCTGCAACCACCTCAGGGGTCCTCGGTGGGGCTGGGGGGTACCAGCCCTGCTGCACTGCGTTCTCCAGGGAGCCAGGGACCAGCACCCAGCTCCTGCCCCCCAGGCTGGAGGGCAGCCTGGCCTCTTGCCCTGCCCTGCCAGCACCCTCCATCCTGCGGGAAGGAAGCTCCCCGTCGTGGCTGCCTTCACGCACTGCACTGCCAAGGAGTGAGCCAGGAGCGTGCAGCCCCCTGGCAGCTGGAGCTGACGTTCAGTGCCCCGTGCCACTGGGGAAATATTGACCAGGACACGCTTCCTTTCACCGTGCTCCGGGCTGACACACGCAGGGAGCTTGTCGAGCCAAGAAAATATGGAAGGAAAGAGGTCTGCTGTCTTCCCATCCTATCTCATTTCTGATCTGGCTACACCCTTCTCCCTCTCCCCCTCACACGCGCTTGCAGACGCAGAAGGGAAACCAACTGGCTTCCTTTTCTTGGCTGCAGTCGACTTCCTTCCCTTTGAGTCCGGTAGCCAGGGTTAGTCAGAGAAACCTTTAAACTCTGCCTTGCAAACCGCAGCAGAGAACATAAAAGAGACAGAGGCAGCGAGACGGAACTGGAAGCCAGCAGCGGGCTGGCGGCCCGCGTTATCAGTGTCACATTTAAAACCAACGCTGGAGCAGCCACACACCAAACCCAACAGGAACTGCACACACCCCACCACACGTTCCACCCGGGCCTCAGAGACACAAACAAGTCTCTGAGCAGGAGACATCCAAGTATTTATTTAGCTGTCCAGGGTAAAGCCCACACACAGTCCTTGGGGAAATTACGCATCTGCTAGCACTTCCCTGCCTTCCTCTGGGGGGGCCATAAAAGTGCAGTGTGGACTTCAAGGGCACGGCACGCTGCCCCGAGCCACGCAGGCTGCAGAAGGGGCATTATGCCGTCTGCAAAGGACATCCAGAAGTTGCAGCCTGGCCAGACCGTCTCCGATTACCTTCTGGCGTGTGGTGTGTGACCCTGTGCCTCTCCGGGATACCGAAGCTCCATCTCTCCAGAGGAGCTGAGGCCAGATGCTGGGATGCTGCAAGGGCTGCTCCAGCACCTCCGGACCAATGTGACCGGCTGATGCCACCTGCCGAGCCGCGGGCAGGAGGGCACAGGCCTCCCCACTACCTCCCAGCACCTCCAGTATCGACACTTTGGTATTAAGGACATTATATAAATAACTAATGTCAACATGTAATCAGAGAAGGGCCTGAAATAAAGCAGCAGATGAGGCCCCTCTCTGCCTGACAACATAGGACACAGTGTGGGAGAAAGAGCCAGGATCAAGGGCAGAAATCCAGCAATCCAGAATCAAAAAAAAAAAGGGAGCTAAGGCAAGAAAACCGAGAGTGCCATGGATGGAGACTTCCTTTGGCATAAAGTCCCCTTCTGTGGCTTCAGGCTCCACATTTGTTACTCCCCATATAAAGGGACTTCAACAGACTGGCAGGGGGGAAAGGAGCTATCAGACCTATATAGAACGACACTCTAAAATAAGCAAATTCTTATCCAGGAAACTCCACTTGGGAAAATTCTACCTTCACAGAGCTTTTAAAATCAGCACTAAAATGTCATGAGTACGGGGTTTTTGGCTGAATTCACTGCCGAGACAACACAGACAATGCAGAGAAATGTGGGTCTGATTACAAACACGTTCTCCCTGCCCTGATCTAGACCCATCACATGCTGTGTGTTTGGGGAGGAAGAGAGTGATGAGTTTGCAGGAAAAGGAATGGAAAAAAAAAAAGCCTCAGCAACTTAATGGGAAGAGAAATATGTCCACAGCTTCAGGAGCAAGCCTACGTTGGCCTTTGCTGCTTCCCACTGCCTGGGACAGACAGCTCTATTTGTGGGCATTTTCTCATGCCTTCTTCCGCTTTGGCTTGATCATCACCCTTCATCCTCGGTCACCGATATTGCATGGCATTGTCTGCCAATCTCTGACTGATCCCCGGACTCTCACAGCACCAGCCTTTCCATCTTGTGATCTCCCCACCCCCTCCCCCCAGATTTGATTAATTTCTCTCCTTCCATAAATTCCTGCGAGTTAGAAACTGCCGTATATATAGCTCAGCCCTTCATGTCCAGGAGTAGGGAATGCAGAGCTGCTTAGGTACGACCTTGCACTGGTAACAACCATGAGACCTCCCTCGTGATGGGGAGAGAGCAAACAGGGAATTTGGGTCTACCCCAGAGGAAGCGTGAAACAGTTACTCCATGCTGAGGAAGGGGTTAAGTCTGCATTGAAACTCAGAGTGCACTGAAGCTGTAACCACCAGTCTGGTTTTGCTGGTTTGGGGGCAGGTGAGTGGCTAGGAATTATCACCCCCAAACCATAAGAGGTCTGCATTGTTTTTGCCTAAATCCTTTAACTGGTTTGTGTTTGGTTTGTTTTTTTTTTTTTTTTTTTTTTTTTTTCCTGAAACTCACTCCCCAGGCTCTCTTAAAATTCAGGCCCATGCTTCCCCAGCACCCAGCAGCGGGCTCACTCAAAGGTCAGCCTTAGCTGACTTGAAACTCAGCCCGAACTTGCCTGAAACTCTGCCAAGCTCTTCCAAAAGACTTGTATCCTGGCCTGAGTTTCGGGTTGCTAATCCAAGTCTCACTGGGTTTCAGGTTTCCATGCAAGCTTTGGCTTTGCTCTACACAAGAATAGCCTCAGGCCACATCTACTCTGCTGGCTGGACCCTTCCTGCCCGGGCAGGGGTGGCAGCAGGCAGCCACCTCGGATGCCAAGAAAGAGGAAACAAGACACACAGCTGCCTCAGAGGCACAGGACACAGTTGGGACCAATATCCATAACCCTGGACCCGCCATCCCAGAGGGGTAGGTCCTTCAACGCCCCAGCTTTGCCTCTCTCTGTCAGCCAGAACAGCCAAGGGGCTGTGGGGCCACCACCCCCTGCCCCAGCATAGAACAGTAACACCGGACCACTGCATGGGCTGTTGTGGCTGTAGTGTTTCTGGCTTGGGACCAGCAGCCGTAAGGCCAGGTTAGTGCTGGCATGTCACAGCCATCTCACTTTTCACGTTGCTCACTGATGTGAGACAAACCAAGCATGCCAAGCTCTCTGCAAGTCATACCCAGAGAGATAAAGCCACCTTATTTTTTCAAAAAGTCCTGAAAAGAGTCTGCTGGGCTGAAGTTCCAGCTCATAGGAATCAGAGTTGCACCACTGAATTCAACATGATCGGTATTTTATCTGTGGAACTCATTTTTCCTGCCACTTCCACTAGATGTCACTTACAGCCAGAAAGTTAGCAGTTTCCCTAGATTTTTAACCTCCTCCTGACGTGCAGGTCTATGTTAATCCTAAAAAGGGGTCTTAGATATCCAGGACACTAGGACTGTAATGGTATTAGAGCAGCTGG